AGGAGGAAAAGTTCCAAGGAAAGCTAAACTCTCTGATTTCTTGGGAAGAGTTTTCTGAGGTATTTCGATCGTGGTTTGTACCTCCTTCTGCAAGACAGCAGATGCAGGAGACTTTTCTGAGGCTAGTTCAGGGGAGCAGGACAGTGATGTAGTACGAGGCAGAGTTCACTGCTTTAGCCCGATATGCTCCATAGTTGATAAGTACTTCTGCTGAAAAGTGCTATAGATTTCTAAGGGGACTATGAGATAGTCTAAGGCAGCCCCTTGTACCGTTTCATATTTCTGATTTCTCTGAGCTTGTGGAGAGAGCTCGTCTGATAGAGAACGATTTGATGGCTACTCAGCAGCGGTGGACTACGGGTAGGAAGAGGTTCGGGGTGATGCTTCTAGTAGTGGTTCCTCTGACAAGAGTAGATTTATTTCTGGAGACTCCAGGATGAGTGGACAGTCGGAATTCACTATAGTTTTTGGTACTGCCGCTACCAGTATGACCAGTTCGGGATCAGTCAGTGGGGCACCTATGTGCCAAAGTTATGGACGACGACATTTTGGTTAGTGCTGCATGATGACTGGTAAGTGCTTTAGATTTGGTCAGCCAGGATATCAGATTGCAGAGTGTCCACAGGCTGGATTTGATAGACGATCTGAGTTCTGATCTGATAGTAGACCTATTGGTTCAGCAGGAAGGTCGAGAACTGTTCCTCAACATAATGTGACTGAAGGATCCTCTAGTAGAGGTGGTGGGTCGAGTTCTGTGGCATGGAGACCACCTACTGGTAGTCAGCAGGAGTCTAGTGGTTCAGTAGCTCCAATTCAGTCACATGTGTACAGTTTGAGTCAGCAGGAGGCTCGAGATGCTCCGGATGTGGTGACATGTACGATTTATATTTCTGAACATCCATGTCGTATTCTGTTTGATTCTGGAGCCAGCCACTCGTTTCTTTCTGAGCGCTGTTTTGATGCTTTGCATCTGGATTATGTTTTGCTACCGATTTCTCTTTCTGTTATTTTGCCGGCTGGAAGTAATTTGATCGCCCGGAAGTTTTGTTTCTGTGAGCTTGATATTTCTGGCAAGAAATAAAAGTCGAGTTTGATTTTATTGCCGATTTCTTCTTACGACGTGATTTTGAGTATGGATTGGTTGAGCCTATATGAGGCTCAGATTGACTGTTTAAAGAAGCAAGTGAGCTTGTTTATGAATGGTGAGAGATGTGTATTTCAAGGGTTAAGAGGAGTTTTATCCTGTCTTATTTCTGTGTTGGAAGTTAGAAGATTGTGGAAGAAATGTTGCCTGATATTTTTGGCTTCTGTACGTGATATGAACATAGATGTGTGTTCTATTTCTGATATCCCGGTTATACGAGAGTTTTCAGATGTATTTCCTGAGGAGTTAGTTGGATTACCTCCAGACATAGATGTTGAGTTCTTTATTGATATTTTTCCGGGTACAGCTCCAATATCAAAAGCTCCGTATAGGATGGCACCGAAAGAACTTTATGAGTTGAAAGTTCAGCTCCAGGAGTTGGTGGATAGAGGATTTATTCGTCCTAGTATTTCTCTTTGGGGAGCACATGTACTGTTTATGAAGAAGAAGGACGGAACACTCCGTATGTGTGTTAATTACAGAGATTTGAATAAAGCCACGATAAAAAACAAGTATCAATTGCCACGGATTGACGATTTGTTTGATCAGCTTTCTGGTTCTTTTGTATTTTTAAAGATTGATTTGAGATCTGGATACTATCAGGTGAAGGTGAAGGAAGCTAATGTGTTGAAGGCAGCTTTCAGTACTCGATACGGGCACTACGAGTTTTTGGTTATGCCGTTTGGGGTAACCAATGCACCTGCTGTTTTCATGGATCTGATGAACAGAGTGTTCAAGGAGTATCTGGATCAGTTTGTGATCGTCTTCATCGACGATATTCTGGTGTATTCTGCTTCTGAGGAAGATCATGCTAGACACTTAAGCATTGTATTGGAGACTTTGAGGCAACATCAGTTGTATGCTAAGTTTTCCAAGTGTGAATTCTGACTGAAGAGCATTTCTTTTCTGGGTCACGTGGTGAGCGATGAAGGTATTTCTGTTGATCCCCAGAAGATTCAAGATGTTGCTGATTGGCCAAGGCCTACTACGGTATTTGAGGTACGTAGTTTCTTAGGCATGATTGGATATTATAGGAAGTTTGTGAAGGGATTTTCTCAGATTTCTATGCCTTTGACGAGAGTGACTCAAAAGTCAGTAGCTTTTGTTTGGACACCAGAATGTGAAGCCAGTTTTCAGAGATTGAAGGATTATTTGACATATGCTCCTGTGTTAGCACTTCCGTTATGTACGGAAGGATTTCAGGTGTTCAGTGATGCTTCACTTAAAGGTTTGGGCTGTGTTATGATGCAGCATGGTAGGGTAATAGCCTATGCTTCGAGACAGTTGAAACCACATGAAAAGAATTACCCAACGCATGATTTGGAATTAGCTGCAGTTGTGTTTGCTTTGAAGATTTGGCGTCATTACTTGTATGACGTCAGATGTGAGATCTTTACGGATCATAAGAGCTTGAAGTACATATTCACATAGAAGAATCTAAATTTGAGGCAAAGAAGATGACTTGAGTTGATCAAGGACTACGACCTGACGATTCAATATCAGCCTGGTAAGTATAATGTGGTAGCAGTTTCAGCTTTTGTAGGCAGTCTAAAAGTCTTCCTGGATTATCAGGTATTCAGCTCACTTCTGATGACTATCTGATACGAGATATGAAAAGATTACACTTGGAGGTGATTTCCTGTACTGGTCCGAATTCTGTTGTTTTGACTCAGATCAGCATTCACTCTTCTCTGGAAGAAAGAATTTAGGAAGCTCAAAAGTCAGACTCCGACTATTTAAAGTTAATTACTCAGATTGAATCTGGTAAGAAACCTGAACTACAAGTTTCTGATTCTGGTGTTATTTTCTGCAATAATTGACTGTGGATTCTTGTGTTTGGAGATTTAAGGAAAGAGATTATATACGAATCTCACCATTTAGGCTATACGATACATCCGGGAAGTGGTAAGATGTACGGAGACATGAAGAGTTTGTTATGGTGGCTTGGAATGAAAACGGATGTAGCAGATTTTGTTGCGAAATGCGAAGCTTGTCAGTTAGTGAAGGCAGAGCATCAGCGACCAGGAGGTCTTTTGTAGTCGTTGTCTATCCCTGATTGGAAGTGGGAGGAGGTAACGATTGACTTTGCTATGGTTTTCCCTTGATCTATGCAAGGGCATGATGCCATCTGGGTGATTGTGGATCGATTAACGAAGTCTGCACACTTTCTTCCGATTAGGCAGACGGATCCGGTGGATAAGTTGGCACAGGTATATGTGAAGAAAATTATTAGATTACATGGTGTGCCTAAAGTGATTATATCTGATCGAGATGGACAGTTTATTTCCAGACTTTGGAAGGGTATTTAGTAAGGATTGGGTACGAAGTTGCATTTCAGCACTGCTTTTCATCCGCAGACTGACGGACAGTCTGAGAGGACTATTCAGGTATTGGAAGATCTTCTGAGGTTATATGTTTTGGATTTTGGAAGAAGCTGGAAAGATCATATCCCTTTGATCAAATTTGCTTATATATTAGTTTCTAGTCCAGTATTGGTATGACACCTTACGAAGCTTTGTATGGCCGGAAGTGTAGAACTCCTTTGACTCTGATAGAGGTGGGAGATAGACATGAAATGGATGTGACGTTTGTGGATGAAACTGTTAAGAAAATCAATCTGATTAAAGAAAGATTGAAAGCTACACAAGATAGACAATAGAAGTATTACAATCAGAAGCACAGATTTGTGGAATTTCAGGTTGTCGACTTTGTGTATGTCAAAGTCAGTCCGATGAAAGGTGTGAGCAGATTTGGTAGAGTGAGCAAGCTCAATCCAAGGTATGTCGGACCTTTCGAGATTATTGAAAGGATTGAAAAGTCTGCTTATAGATTGTTATTATTAGATCAACTGTCTGATGTACATAATATTTTTCACGTATCCTCTTTGAGAAAGTGGATATCTGATTCTAACAAGAAGTTGTCTACTAATGAGGTTAAGATTTAGGAGAATCTACAGTACAAAGAAGAACATGAGAAAATTTTGGCCTATGATGTACACAAGTTAAGAAGTAAACAAATTTCAATGATTAAAGTGCAGTGGAAATACAGAACTACACGGGAAGCGACTTGGGAGAAGGAGTCAGACATGAGGCACTCATATCCGTATCTGTTTTGACTCAGTTTTGTTTGGAAATGTTGAGGACGATATTTTTCTGAAGTTGGGGAGATTGTAAAGACTGTTTTTCCTCCCAGGATCGTCCGGGACGAAGTAGATCATCCCGGGACGATCAGTACAGGTTGTGAAGAAATCTGCTGGTTCATCTGTACGAAATGGGTTCGTCCAGGGATGAAATTTTCCCGAGAGTTTCATCCAGGGATGAAGAAATTGGAATTTATTTTCGTCTGGACGATTGAGTCCAGAGAAGATCATCCCGGGACGAATCGGGACATCGTCCGGGACGATCCTATTTAATAAATATCTGAATTGTGCCGATTTTGAAGAGAGAGAAAGCCCAGAAGAGAGAAAACCATGGAAAGAGGAAGAAAAGTGGATTTTTGGGCGACTTCGGTCCGTTTTCGTCCGTCGCCGTAGTTGGGAAAGTTGATCGACTCGAGGTAAGGCACATTCCGTCATACTCAATTTTCAGAAACATGGATTTTGACGACTTTTCTGTTTCGAATTTTGTTTCCGTTAGCAAATTTCTGGTATTATTTTCTTCTAACAAAGTTTTACCGCGTAACTTTTGGTATATTTTTGAGATGATAATTGTGCACATTTTGAATATTTTTCAATTATGCAATCTATATGGATGTCTAATATTATTACTTATGTACAATAAAAGTCTTATAATATTGTTGTGGATATTCTGTGGTAATTTGGTAAATTTTTGAATCTATGAATTTTGTGTAAATTTCGTATAAAGTCGTTATGCCGCTGATTTTTCGTACGAATTCTGATTTTTCTGAATTGATACATTGAATGAATTGATTATTTGTATGCTATCAGAAGGGAGTTATAGGGAGCCAGAATCATTTGAGATTCTGTCTGTGTCCGAGAAAATCTGAAATCTGAAAATAAGTTATGTTCCGAAAATTCTATGTATCTGATTTGTTCTGGTGCTATAAGCACAATGGGAGACATAAGGGGCCAGAATCCGTCGAGATTCTGTTTGTGTCAGGGAAGGGAGGCATAAGGGGCCAGAATCCATTGAGATTTGTCAGGGTCAAGGAATATGATGTTTGAAATCTGATAATCTGTTCTGTGACTTATCTGGTCTGTTTTATAAATTATCCGATATATGATTTCTGATTTCTGTACGATTCTTTCTGCTCTGTGATTTGAAAGTTTGATAATATCTATTCTGAACTCTGATTTGAAACGACTTCAATTTTCTGTATCCGTAAGCTAATTTCTGATTGATCAAGTATATGTTCTGTCTATTCTACGATTTCCGAACGGCTATTTTCTGATGTGAATTTCTGATGATTTTGATCGGTGAGTGATGTCTTGCTGAGCTGTTAGCTCATCCTTATTTTCTGCGTGATTTTCAGGTTCTGGAAAAGGGAAGGAGATCTTGGACTAGAAGTTCTGTGTCTGATCTGAGATTAGGTATTTTGTACTTTTGATTTTGTACAGTCATGACTTTTCTGTTTCTGTTCTATTCTTTCTGTCTGTAGTCATGCACTGTATCTGTATATGATTGTTTTGAGGAAAGAAAAGATAGATGAACTATTTTGTATTTCGATGTTTATAATAGCTATGTGTTTTTGTGTATATTTAATATTTGGAAGAAAGTCTGAAGCAAATTCCAAAACTAGATCATGGATTTCAAGTTTAAGTTCCGTCGCGACCCGATGCGAGTGGGATCCGTCCCGGTCGGGTTGGGTCGTGACATTTAAGTTTTTCGCCGGAAATTAGCATTTATGGCATATTTTAGCCATTTTTTCCGATGAAAATGACTGCTGTAAATGACCTTTTTTTCCTGTAGTGTTATTTTAACAATAGTTTTCTATTAAGAAGACAGTCTCTCATTGTGACTTCTTCTACACAAGAGAGGGGTATTGAAGCTTGATAGGGGAATGCCCCTATCTCCGATAGTTGAATGCCTCCAATATAAGAAGAATAACACAAAAGAAGAAAAAGTTAGAACGAGGGAGGCGAAGTAAAAGAAACGACTCCAAAAATTTCAATTTCTAAATAAGGAGAGAGGCCCTGATTTTGTGTTCGGAAAGTCACCTAAAAAAACAAGGGAATGCCTCAATGGTAAGAAAGTCAAAGAAAGAAGAGAGAAGAGAAGAAATGTGCAATTTTTCTCTTCCATGAAGGGCCTATTTAATGGTTGAAAAGAGGGGGAAATGATTTAAAATTTGGGGGGGGGGGAATTTTCCTCCAAATTATTCAAATTAATTTAAAAAATTTCTAGAAGTTTTTTCAAATTTATTGGGCCCACATCTAAAATTTTTGAATTTTGAAAAAAAAAGAAAATTTACGAGGCCCACTAAAAAAAAATATTTTTTGCAGATTTTAATGTAGCAAAACACTGCAGCACAGTACTGTGGCAACCATGAACATTTCAAAATAAGAACATTTTCCAGCTAATTTTACTGTAGCAAAACACTATTGCAGTCAGGTTACCTGTGAAAAACTAAAAAAAAAATAATATTTATACATAAGCGAAACTGCAGTCGATTAAATAACCAGCTGCCCACTCTAACTGTGCACCCCAAGGGGAGTGCCCTTTCAACGCTGACAGCGACATCCGCCGGTGGCCGGCGGCTGGCCGGCCATCCAGTTCAACTATCAAGATGCGTTCGAGCTCTGATTTTAGGCTCGAATAGTCCAAATCGATCATTTTTTTTTGTGATTAGATACATTTTCCAACGTTCTAGACTCAATTTTGACACTTTCAGAGGTCAACGGGACTTCTAAGACCAAGTTTGAGAAAAAATTTACATTTTTTTTTAACACAATTTTTCGACATTCAATCAATTTGAATTATTATGACATATATTTTCAGACTCTATATACTTTGACGTCCAAAAATAAAATGGCAACTGATATGTTATAAAAAATTTATCTTGATCGAACATGAATCTCGAGACAAAAATCAAGTTGGAAACTTCAAAAATAAAATCTAGGATTATCTAAACTCCAATTTCAACAAACTTATAGTCAAACTGATTGTCTCGGAAATACGAACATAACGACACCAAATTCAACTCTATCCGAGCCCAAATGGGTCCAAATCAAAGACCAAAAGCGTTGTTGGAAGGTTCAAACCACAATTTTGATTACTAAACAGTTTCCAAACATGACATGCTTATATTACAATTGAGCGGCTCACCGAGACGAATCCAACGAGCTCAAGATCACCGAATTCTAATATCATTAAGACCTTCAAATGTCTGACAAACAGTCCACGATCAAGGGATTCAATATCGGCCGTCCATCCGAACCACTCTACCTTTTCCCTTGATCCTCCTCCTATTTACGGGTCATGCCATCCTAAAAAAATTATAAATAGCCCCTCATTTCTCTTTAGAGGGGACCCAAACAAGAAGAAGAAGAGAAGAAGAGAAGAAAAGAGTAGGAGGGAAGAAACTCATCGACCACCACAGGGATTCTACCCGACTTCCAAGGAACGTCGGAATTCCGCCCAACTTCCAAGTGGCACTAGAATTCCGCGAACTTCCAAATGACACAGGAACTCCGACCGACTTCCAAGTGACGTCGTAATTCCACTCGACTTCCAAGTGACGTCGAATTTCTGCCTGATTTTCTAGTGACGCCGGAACTCTACCCGATCTCCAAGTGAATATGGGGTTTTGCCCGAATACCATCTAACGCCGGAGTTCTCCCCACCCACCTACTGAATTCAGACTTCTACCCAACGACGAACCTCTGCTCGTTCCCATATTTCAACCTAATACCGGGCTTCTACCCGTTGTTGGATTTTCGACGGATAACTATGAATGTGGGATTTCTATCTATAGTTGGACTTCTACATTATGCCGTCCTTCTGATCTCTGTCGTCAGACAATGGTCCTTCCGACATTCGTCGTCCAACAACTATAGTCCTTTCGACCTTTGTTGCCTGCCGACTATGATCCTTCTAACTTACGTCGCCCACCGACTATTATCCTTCCGACCTCCGTTGCCAGACAACGATCTTTTTTACCTCTATCGCCAGTCGATTATGATCCTTCCAACTTATGTCGCCCACCGACTACAATCCTTCTAAGCTCCGTCGCCAGACAACGGTCTTTATGACCTCCGTCGCCCGCCGACTACTATTCTTCCGACTTATGTCACCCATCGACTACACTCATTCTGACCAAACGAACACGTCAACAATAACTCTTTGTATTCCCATCATATAATGTATTGCATATGTACATAGAGCCAAGGTCTTCCTCCCCAAGGAAGGGTCACATTTATAATTAACTGCAAATACTAGTAGATTCATTCAAATTGGGCTAGACCTCGTGTTTTTTCTCAATTTTCTGGGGTTTTTTACATAAAAATCTTGATGTCTTATAAATACTACACCCTCTCTCTTATCTGATTGCATGTCGAATTTTCGTATAATGCTAAGACGTTAAATTTTATATTTCTCTACCGCCGCGAATACTCAAGTATGCAACAATCCTCACACTTTGTTGTGCTAATTTTTGATATTTGGGGAAAACTGAAAAGTGTGCCTGCCCAATTGGAAATCCGTTTCCCGCCAAATAACTGGCCTGCTCAGAAGATGGAGATCTAAACCCTAAAAAAATTGCTTTGTTTTTCGGGTGAGTTTTGATCTTCTAATGATCCTTTTGTCGCTCATGGAATCTTCCTCAGATATATGGCCGCCACTCCAGCCTCATGCCAGCAGTGGCGCCACTGTCGAGGAAGAAGACGCCTTTCTTGGGTTCGTGGCGTACGCTAGGTCGATGCTTTTCCCAGACGAATGCATGCTGGAGGACCGCGGATGCGCAGAGGACTTTCATGGGCCGTCCTGGAGCTGGCTTGTCTCCCGTATCTTCAAGACCTGCATTGCATACCCTAGTGGAGTCACTTCCGGGATTCTTCTCTCTGATCTCTTCCAGGTAATATTAACATTACTGAAATCGCCCTCGTTGTTACCTTCGAACTACAGGACTCCTAGATTTGTCATGAAAGACTATCAGGGAACCTAGTGATCTTGCAAGAAGATAGAATATGACGAAACGTTGTGATTCTCGAGTTAATGTGGGCGGTTAATCTTCTTTCACAGGCTTGGTGCGAGCAGCGCAGGTTTTTGACCTCAAAAAAGAATATGGAATGGATGATTCCATTGAAGAGACGACGCAGGAGAAGAAGGCTTCCAAACACAGTCACCATCGATTCAATTTTCGAGAAGAATTTCCTCTCTCCAACTAGCTGTCTGGAAGCGGTAGTTTTGCGTTCCTTTCTTCTTCCAGGTGCCGCAAAACCCTTCTTCCTTTCTATCACTTACACCTTAACTTCTATTTTAGAACGGAAAACCTTTTTCCTCCGCTCATGCTCCTTTTTAATCTGTCCGCAGTCACAGAGATTTAAATTTTGTATTGAGGAATCCATTGATGTTTCTATCGATTGTGGAGTAAAACGACATTGCTATGAACTGAAAGCAGAGCCTTTCTCCAGAAACATTGATGTCATTTTTTTCTTCTAACTGTAATTATGGATTTATCTTCTACTTCAATTAAGGAGGAGCGTTGAACTATGTTTTAGACTGCCTAATGACCAATAGTTCAATTTGCACTGACAGAGATAGGGGGTTATTGAACGAAAACTTCATTTGCTTGGTAATTACAAGTTGGGTAACTAATTGGTTTGTGACATAGTTAAATATATTGAACTTTAATGTTATTATTTGGTTTTGTTACTTGTTTAAGAAGTTTACCTTTACCAAAGATTAATTTAAAGAACGAACCATCCAACTTTTGAGGATCTGTGCATGTGTTTCAATCCCACTAATTGGCGCTCATAACAAATTGCATATTCTTTAGAATTGTATACAAGAATCATGTAACATCAAGTTTAACTAAAAATTTATTCTTTCTCAGTTCTCTACTCATCAACATTTAATTTCTAAATAAATTTGAAATAGTTGACAACAACTTAGAAATCATTTGCACTGTCACGACTAAGGGGCTCTTTATTTGAATCGTCGTCATAACAAATTATTCTCTCCCTTGCCTCATCTTGTGGAGTCCAATACCTTTCAATTTGCATATTCATCATTTATTTCAGCAATCTTTTTCTTTCATAATATTTTTCATTATTATAAAGATGACATTAGTGCTCTAAACTTTTTAGAGGAGGTGATGGTGGCATGTAGCTTTCAAGTGATCCTTGGCGGTGGTTACGAACTTACGATAGTGTTGGCTGCGTTGAAGGTGACATGTTGGAGGTCGAGACAACTGAGGGGAAGTTGTTGCGACTCAGGGATGCATGAATCCGTGATTTATTCGGGGTTTTAGTTTATGATTTAGATAAGCTTTACTAAAAAATATATAAACAGGGTGAAGCGTGAGCCGCACGCCTGCTGGGGGCTCTTTATTTGAATCGTCTTCATAACAAATTATTCTCTCCCTTGCCTCATCTTGTGGAGTTCAATACCTTTCAATTTGCATATTCATCATTTATTTCAACAATCTTTTTCTTTCATAATATTTTTCATTATTATAAAATGACATTAGTGCTGTAAACTTTTTAGAGGAGGTGATGGTTGCATGTAGCTTTCAAGTGATCCTTGGCGGTGGTTACGATGGTGTTGGCTGCGTTGAAGGTGACAGGTTGGAGGTCGAGACAACTGAGGGGAAGTTGTTGTGACTCAGGGATGCATGAATGCGTGATTTGTTCGGGGTTTTAGTTTATGATTTGGGTAAGCTTTACTAAAAATATATAAATAGGGTGAAGCGTGAGCCGCATGCCAGCTGAGTGAGGCGCGCTTCAAGGCGGGCCTCAACTAACTTGAAGCGCAAGCCTCATAAAAAAGCTCGAGGCGTGAGTCTCAAAGCATTTTCCATTGAAATTGCACTGAGGCGAGCCTCATATTGCGTAATTTTAAATAATGGAAGAAGCTTTTGTAACAGAGAAGGAGAGATACTAATAGCAACATTATCAACACCTGCTTCTCCACACCCTATCCTTTTATTTGTTGTAGATGGTTGGTTGTGCGCCCTCTCAACCTTTGACATATAGAAGATGATTTCTCTATCCTTATCTTAAACTTGGATAAAAAGAAATCCTTAATGCACTTTTTTGAAGCTTAATGAAATATTTGATCTCTATACGATCATGGATGAAGGTGAATCTTATTGAAAACAGTAAAAAAGCATCCCAAACAGCTTAAATGCGGTAAATTGAGTGTTTTTTATATGATAGCAAATGGAATCTGAAAAAATCAACAGTGCAAACACAAAAATGCATGGTCTGCCAAAAAAGAAGGCATGAATAACTTTCACACTCATTTTTTCCCGGTTTATGAAAGCACCTTTTATAATGTGTGGTTTTTTTTTTCATTCTTCTTATAGATATTTGCTTATCTACCTTTTTTTCTAGAATTCAAATGTGGACTAACAATGAATACACTAAACTTATTGCCAGTGAAAGTGTTAAACATCTTACTAAAATTTGTACATGGCAAATGATCAGGTACAAACATATACATGCTCAGTTTGGGGGACCTCTGGAGCTCTTGTACCATTGATCTATATCTACATCGTAGGTAGAGGCGCTAAGCAGTTTCTGCTCAAATATATAAAATACATTTAACGGTGAAGGTTGATACTGTTAGAATCTACCATGATCATGCTATCTCAAATTAGTCATGATTATTATTATTTTTATCCTAACTATTTAGGTTTGGTTACCATCTTTTATTCATTCTTCACTAATCTCTTCGAATAATTTATATTCATATAAACGTAGGCTTCATTTGGGACGACTTTTTTATTGCTTTTTAAAACATATTTTCAGTACAAAAATTAGAAAGCTACTTTAAAAAGTAATAAAAAGCAGTTCCAAATGAAACCTTAGGCTTTTTTTGGAACAACTTTCTTAATGCTTTATAAAGCAATTTTTTCAAACAATTTTTTTTTTCAAAAAATTTTTATACTAAAAAGTTGCTTTAGACAAATAAAAAAGCTGTTCCAGATGAAGCCCTTAATTACTTTCCTTTTTTATTCTCTAGCATTGCTTTATATACTTGTCAAATGGGTGTTTTTTCTATACTTTGTTTTACATGTTAATATCATGAGGGATTTACATATAGACCAAATTATATCATGTTATTTACATATTTAACACTCAAAATTTTAATATTTTATACTTATCATTTATAGACAATTTTAATATCATTTATGTCTATTGTCAACTATATTTGTATCCTTTGACATAATTATTAGTGATCTTTTTAATGCCCAATAATTGGTCTAGAGAATAATCGATCTTAATTATTATTTTATTAATTCAATTGCTTAATCTTTCACTCTAAAAATTATGCAATTATATTTATGTATTTCATAATAATATTAACAAATAACTGATAGTATTATACTTTTTAAAATTAGATATAATATTAAAATTTTATTATACTAATTTTAAGTTTTAAGTACTCTAAATATTTCTTCACTGTCTAAATCACTTATTTTACATATTATAAATAATAAAAAAAATCCAAGCCCATTCCCGCGACTTGCACTACCTCAAGTGCCCGACCACATCCCGGCATGATCCAACTCGCCTTCGATCTCTAGCATTCTTCTCCCGCTCCAGACCAAATCCCCGGACCCCTCGACGATCAAGAAACGAGGGAGTTTCGCACGTGTGCTCACAGAAGAAGGCATGGTTGGATTGGTGGTTGCGGAGAAAGGAGTTCGCTTGGAGAGGAGTCGCACAGGGTCCACAGGGAGCTCCCGGCACAAGGTATCGACCTGACGGCCGACGTGTGAAGCAGGTTGTGGCGGTTGGAAGTTCGCTTGGAGAAAGGCATGGACGTGTCTAACGGTGCGTGGAGGATAAATGGAGTGGTGAGACGGGTGGATTTAAAGCGGCGGCCTCTCTACGTCTTTCTCTCTCTCTATTCTCTCTCTCTGTACTTTCTTCCACTTTTTCTTCATTTCTCTCTTCTCTATATCTCTTTCTTTCTCATTCACTGTCTCAATCTCCCCCTCGTTTTCCCTCTGTAGTGTTCTCTTTCTACCCGCCACCTAATTCTCTCTTACTATGTATCTCTCTACTTTTCTAGTTCTTTATATCTCTCTTTTTCTCCTCTAACCCACTCCCACTTTTTCTCTCTATTTCACTCTCTTTTTCTCTCTTCTTCTTTTGCTCTTACAGCCCATTTTGCCTCTTTCTCTCTCTTCCTCCCTTTCTCTCTCATTTTCTCTTTCACTCCTCTTACATACTTTCATTCTCCCCTTTCACTCTCTAAAGAGAAGAAAATGTAAAGTGGGATTTACATACCTATCACTTTATTTCATGTTATTCACATATCTAATGCTTGAAACTTTAATATTACATGTCTACTATCTACAAAAAAAATATAGGTGCATGGAATAAGGTATTAAAGTTTATAGGATGGTTCATATTATAAGAATAAAATATATGAGTGATATATTTAATATTAAGATTTTATATGAGTGATAAGAATGTAATATTAAAGTTTTGAGTGTAATATTAAACAAAAAAAAAAGAGAAATAAAAGAAAAAAAGTAAAATATAATTGTGCCTTCGCCTCATCTTCTTGCAGCATATATATCGTCATTATTTTGCATGAAATGTATAATCCCCAACAAGCCATACCTCTACTTAAGTACTCGTATGCGTCTTGGCCCCACTAGACCTATTACCACTAAAATTATACTCCATATATTCGGTTTTAGATCTACTCAAACGAAAACCTTTAGACTCTAAGGTTGATCTCCATAATTCGAGTTTATCTTCAACTCCCTCTCTAGTCTTATCAACAAGATAAAAAGATAAATATAGGCCTAAAAAGATTTGGTTAGAAAATATTAGAAATTGCCTTTCTTTATTAGATTTAAATGATAATTTGACTCTTAATAAGACACAATGGAGTAAAAGAATTCATGTAGCCGACCCCACGTAGTGGGATAAAGGCTTGATGTTGTTGTTGTTGTTGAGGTCTATTTTACATGTCAAGAATACACCAACACGCTGCCTGACTTAGTTCTCATTTTGACATGCCCAACAATCCAGATACTACCATCTAGTTGAATCCGATAGTGGGATTTTAAAGAAGGGACGGGAAATCCTCCTTACAGGATGCAGTCTACGGCCCGCCATGGAAGGATCTGGTCACCATCGTCTTTTGCCAACAGAGTATTTGGTGATATTATTAGATGAGGTAATGCTTACTGCTGATGTATGACATTTTGTTTTTATTTTATTTAATTTCCTTCAACTCTACGAAAAAATGTCTTACTTGTCAAAGTTGTTCTACTCACTGTCAAATTCCTACAATGGTTTCAGACTATTGTTAAATTGATTGAATTTACAGTTTTGTACCAGTTTTTGTTGTCTCGTATTTGTCAAAAATCATAAATTGAGAAAATGGTGAAAGAAATGCTAGAAATTGGAATAATTGGAAAAAGCTGAAGTTCGCTCTCTTGACCAGTATTTTTGGCATGCAATGACAATACATGGCGATTTTGTATTGATTATTAAGCTTTAAATTGAGTGACTATACTAGATCGCTTTGGATGAATTGATAGAAGAGTTACATGGTGCTTTCGTATTTTCTAAACTGGAACTTTATTCCGCTTACCATTAGATTCATATTGTTGAATTTTATTTAAAATGGTCTTTTGAACAGGAGGGATATTATGAACGTGTTGCAATGCCATTTGGATTAACAAATGAACTAGCGACATTTCAATCAATGTTTAAGTCCTTTGTACATTTACGATGTTTTGCTTTGGTATTTTTTTGATGATATATTGGTATGATGTAAGTCTCAAGAAGCCCATGTCTTAAATGTTCTCAAAAAAAGCATGTGTTGTTCATCAAACCTTACCATTGTCCTTTTACTCAACTATATTGATTATTTGGGTCATATTATATCTGCCAAAGAGAATCATATCCAGAATCATATCCTAACAAGTTAGATGACCACCATTGAAATCCATTAAATAATTACGAGGGTTTTTGGGCCTAATCTGATATTATCACAAGTTCGTCCATCACTATGCTTTAAATGCAGTTCTTTTAGCATTACTATAGGCAAGCGACAAATTGATATGGATAGCGGCGACTTAAAAAACAATTCTTAAACAAGTGATGACATCCTTAACAGTTTTGGAACTCCTAGATTTAACACCATTCATAGTTGACAGATGTTTTTGGTGTCTCCATCAGCGCAATGTTCAAAACTCTCATCCTATAGCATTTTTTGTAAGAAACTCACTTTGTCTATGCAAAAGGCACCAACTTACACAAGGGAGTTATATGCGATAACCTAAGTATAATTGGTCGTTGCCCATACTTTTGGGCAATCAATTTACAATCCTTATGAATCAGTGTAGCATTCATGAGCTTACGCAACAAGTAATTTAAACACCGGAACAACAATGGTTTTTGGTGAAACTATTGGGCTTTGACTACACTATCGAGTACAATTCGGTTGCATCAAATTGATGCTTTATCAAGAAAGCATTACCTGAGACAGATGCATCTCTAAGAGTCAACTCTACACAACAACATTGGCAATTGCTTACTTAACAAAATAGAGTACAACCTTGATCAAATTTGTTCAAAAACAAAAATATTGCCAGTAATGCAGAAACTTTATTTTTAAAATTTATCACATTACGAGTGATTTAATTTATGTTTAAAAAATAATTGTATTGATCTTGGCATCCACGTTAAAACTTGTGATATTAATAGAACTTCACCATAGACCCATAGCCAAAGACGGCCCTGAGAGAGGAAGCGAGGGGGTTGTAGGGCTACGCATGTTCATGCTCCATTTTAATGGCCAAAACGTCAATTTGCGTGCTCTTGTCCGATTTGCCAACAAGCTAAATATGATTGATGGGCAAAGATTGAGTGGATTATTACAACCACTATCAATTCCTCATGCAACTTGGGAAAAATTTTCAATTGATTTCATTATAGGATTTACCCAAATCATATGGCAAGATAGTAATTTTGGTAGTCATTGATTGACTTTCCAAGCATGCTCCATTACAGGTCAATTTTCAGCATTCATGGTGGAAACAATGTTTGTTTATGATATTTGTAAGTTACATGGTATACCGCCTGTTTTTCTTTCAAATCATGATCATATTGTTATGAGTTCTTTTTGGTCGGAACTATTTTGCCATATTTGCACTGCTTAAAGTCATAGTAGTTCTTGCCATCTAGATTCAGATGATCAAACTGAGGTTACAAACCATGATTTAGAATCATATTTGAGAAGTTTTGCTATGAATTCTCTATTTGAATGGGTGAAATTTCTATCCTGGGCAGAATTTTCATGTAATAAAACATATACATCCTTAGGTTTATTCCCATTCCGGGTGGTTTATGGTATAGCATTGCTCTTGATTTTTCCGGGTGCTTTATGGGAGATTTAATTGACTATTATATAACCGCTCGAAAAAAAAAATAAAAAATCTTACATTATACTTGCTTCGCCGCTCGCACGAGTAGTGACAAACTCTAGTTGCTTGCATGCTACTTCTGCTCTTCCCCGCTAGTAGTTCAAACTCTGCAATCCCTCGTTGTTCTTATCGTATATCTCACTCACATGGGAATCAAAACGATAACTAGCATTGTAAATAATAATAAAAAAATTATAATATTTTTACTAAAATATCCCTCTCAAATTATGAATAATGGTAGAGTTGTAGCATTATCCATCAAGTTAGACCTTTTTTTAGCAGTATGATCAAATTAGATTAATTTTCAATTTTTGAAGGACTCTTTTGAGGCGGAATGAAACTCTTGGACTACATTTGGCACTTATTAGTAGTCGGGGGACTATTTTGAGCTTTTTATTGGAGTAATAATTTGAATCCAGTCAAGCTAAGATACAAATATAATTTGAGGACAGGTAGGATGGATGACATATTATGTTACCAAGTATGGTTTTTATAATGTAATGCATGGAGTTGCTTGGCTAAATTTGATTTTTATAGTTTAGCTTTATTCAGTTGGATTAATGTGGACCTAGTTGTATTCAATTGAGGCGGTTATAACTATTTCCAGCTGCCATATGACAATTATACTTCTGCAACCTGATTTGGATAACGTTAAAAAAAATCTATCAGAAACTTGCTCAGCTTTTTCAGTTATTTTCTATTATTTTCAGAGTTTCGACTCTATTTGTGAGTTATTTTTAGAGTTTCAGCCCTATTTGGGAGTGCCAAGAAGCTCAAATTGCTTGTAAATTGGGACTGGGATTCCATCACGTTGTTTTTCGTCATACTCTTGTTTACGTCAGGTAATTTGTTCAGAGACCAATGGGAAGTAAAATATCTACCCTATTCTTTAGCTTATTCTGCACTTTGATGCTATTTTTTGAACTTAAGATTGTTTGATTTATAGCAAAATACGCATTCAAGCATGTAAAGCAACCAGCACAAAATGACATGATCCAGGTTTGTAGGATGATTCTTCTCGTTGACGAGAGTCTGAAAAAATGCACATCTAGTCATTCAGTTATAGTTGAAAATTGGAACTATAATGTGCAGCGTTGCTTGACTTTTTAACAATAAAAATATAATTTTTTCCCGTAAGACTTAGCCAATTTTCCAATCACCTTTTCTTCCGTGCATTTGATCCTATGGAAGGGCACGCTATTTTCTATTTGGAGACTGTTGTAACTTGTAATTGTTATTATCATATTTGACTAAACAATGATAATTATGCGGTGGATCCCTTAATATTAAGACTTCGTTTGAGACGGCTTTTTTATTGTTTCTTAAAATGAAGTTTCAATAAAAAAATTAAAGTTTTTGAACTAAGATTCCGTTTTATGAATCAATAAAAAAGCCGTTACAATCGAAGCCTAAATTGTGCTTCCTAATGTGGTGCATGTGCTGTTCTTTTCCGCACTTCAGTAATGATGTTGTTCCTATTCATTTTTCTGATTGTTTGTTCGCTCGCAAACAACATTTCCTTCTCCATGTGGATATCCATGTGCTTGTTAAATTTAATTTTTTTTGTCACTTTATTATTTGTTTTACTTCTTCATATGCTATAACTAAATATTGACATATATGTGATAATAATTTCATTTTTTATTAAAATATTAGCCCTCTTGTAATAACCTGTTAATCATTCATATTTTTTAACATAAACAATGTTTTGAAAACTGGCTAAAGGCAACTAATGTTATTATTGCTTTTTCCATGAATTTAATTTATTGTTTTGTCTTTGATATGCACATGAGGTCACCTTTTGTCACATCTCATTTTGACTCCTACACTCAATCTAGAGTGTAACAGAAAATGAGAATCTGAATATTTTGTCTACTTACTTACACCCATTCTGAAACACTAATATCAAAATTAAATAAGTAAAAAGTAGTATATTCAAACTATCATAACATAACTAATCATAACACATCAAGATTTTCATAATATGAATCATATATAATATACCTAAAATAAAATGCACATCTCAGTTGAAATACAAACCTTTATTAAAACCTTTAAAATTTACTTACATACTCAAAAGTTTGTACAGCTATCATTCAGATTGATGGGGACATCAGATCGTGGAAGGTCTATCAGATACGTGGTCGTCGATCTACGACCACAATCGAGTCATTGTATTTCTGATTTGTTTTATGTATTTTTTTATTTATGATGTCATATTGTATTTGCTTTATTAGTTTTCTGTTGTACCCTTTTATTAAGGGAGGTCATATGTAAGCCCTAGGGGTATGGTCGTCCTTTTATGTTTTGAGTCATTGTAAGAGGCTATTTATAGTCCCATTGTTATTCTTTTCAAGTTAATGAATGAATGATAAATATTTTTTCTTTGCTTGAGTTCTTTGTGAGACTTGAGAGTGCTTGGGAGAGAGATCCCTAGGAGAGGAAAATTGGATCACCCACCAACTTTTGAGACGGCCGGGTTTGTGGTTCTTCTTCTTCTTTATCTAATTTTTCCTCTTCTTCATCACCTAGTCGCCGGCCTACGGCCCTCCCCAAAACCCTAAGCAGCCGGCCACCTAATTCTCCCACCACCCCCATCAGTTTCACCCCAACCCCACCCAACCGTCGGCCACCATACCTGCCCCCTAGTTTCCCACCTCCCCTTTGAGTTATTGCCTATTTTAGATTGATTTAATTTGGGGTAGATTTTGAATTCAAATTCATTCAATTTGAAATTTAAAAT